CAACACGGACAACCCTCAGCTCTGTACCAAATCGATTTCAACTCACCTCAAGCCAGGAACGAACCAAATCGATCCTGTTTCGGCGCTGAAGACCGAAATTGGGGAATCGATTATCAAGGTGCAGAATGCAATGGAAAGAGCGCGCGAACTCCGCAAAGATCCATCGACATCGAAACTCGCAAACGTGTGCTTAGCTACTTGCCTTGACACTTACAATTTGGCGATCTTTGACCTAAAAAAAGTATTGGAATCGATCGAACATCACGACGCTGGTACAATGGAGAGCTACCTCAGCGCCGTACTCTCCAATATCGGGACCTGCGATGATTCTTTTGCAGAGATGGGCTTGGTTTCGCCATTGGATAATCTTGCAATCGAGCTGAACAAGTTCGCAAGCAATTGCTTGGCGATTTCCAAAATGCTTCTGTAAGATTAACCAGGTCGTTTGAGTTGGAGAAGACGATCCATTCGAAATTGCCTCTTCTTCTTCAGCTCCACAGATTTCGTTTGGAGAAGTTGAATCTGCTCTGCACAGCCTCCTCTTATGAATTGGTTCTGAAAGTTTCTTGTAATGAATTGATGCAATAAATTCTTGTCAAGTGAAACTTTCATTGGCAATGGCAAAATATATATTATATAGATCTCATTTCATAGTTTTAATCTGACACTACCATCAAATATTTTACGAATAAATATTCAATGAGTCATTTTTCAAAGTATATGAATCAAAATAAATTTATTGAGACCACAAACAACTAAAACGAACAAAAGAAAGTACAGTTTATTAAGAATGGTCTCAAAAGTGAAAAGTGAGAAATAAGGAATAATATAAAAAATATATCCTTGTTATGCTGTATGTATTTAAACTAAACTATTCAACTCAAAGAAGATTTATCGGTGATACTTAAAACGAAGTATATCATTTATATATTTAATGCGATTGATATAATTCACTGGTATATCAATTATATAACAATATACTTCATATTCATATTAGGTACATAATGATAAATTTATCACTTATATACTTGATAATCTATCAATAAAAAATATGTTATTTGCATAAATAGAATAAAAAAACTGCAACCAAAATCTTTAACCTTTAACCTAAAGAAAATTAAATTTACTTGATGGGAAGGTAAATCATTTATATATTTGATTAGATTTATATATTTCATATTAAAAATATCAATTATATCCGCAATATACTTCATATTAGGCATGTAAGTTATATCCATGATATACTTGATATATCCAAAAAAAAACTACAATGTTGCTTAAACCCAAAAAAATTTAGTAGTAATATACCTAATATGAAGTATTTCATTATTTATTTAGTGTGATTGATATAGTTCATAATAGGAATATTAGTTGGGTTTTTTTTATTAATATTATTGTAAATGAAACTTATTTTAAAAATATTGTAATTTAATTAAAAATATTAGAAGTATGATAGGTTTTGAAACTTTTTTTAAAAATATTGTTGTTTTAAAAAACTGAAGATATGGTCGTCTCTTCAAGAGACGACCATGCCATGTGGCGCCATGGCGTTGAAGAAGCAGCAAAGAGACTTGAAGAAGTTCATGATAAGGTCTGTGGGACAACAACACCGGGTAAACCTCTACAGAAGATTGCAAAGACAAGGTTACTATTGGCYCTAGCCTGATATGATATGGCTAGGGATGCAAAAGCTCGAGAAGAGGCTTGTCTAAAATGCACATGGATGCCCTCTCGAGCAGAATGTGCATTTATCGATGTAGTGGATTGGAGACAGCCATATATCGAGTATCTGACAAAAGGAACCTTACCGGATGATAGATACGAAACGAATAAGCTAAAGAAGATAGCCAACCTAAAGGTATATCGTGAATGATGGTAAGCTATTCAAAAGAGGCTTATCGGGAATTCTGTTGAGGTGTCTATCAGGTGATGAAGCGATG